CACATATGATATCTAAGTCATTTTCTATGTGAGCAAATTAATTTTACACCAACACTCAACGGTTATTTGAGTAATGCATGGGAATTAGTTGGGATAATTATGCTCGTGAAGTCAGTTGCATTTCTCAAATGTGCACGCATAATTATGGCACATACGAGGATCAAGTTTATAGGGCTTCATGGTATCTAAAACAGGTAAAAATGTATTTATAGTTAGACTGTAAATGAATTCATTTGTTAATTTTTTTGGATATCCCAGGGCTCGCATACCAAACATCGTAGCTGTAACTCTTGTAGCTTCTAAGATTGAGATTAAACAGATATTTTCAATTGTCTACAAAACTGGATTTTATTTAGATTAAAGAGGTATTCTTCTGGCTCATATTTTCCCAATTTCTAAGATCAATAGGCTCAAGCGTACTTAGATATATTCAAATATAATTTCTTCAGATTAAAGAGATCTTCCTCTGTCTATAACGACATTGTGATTATATTTTCTCAACTCTAAGGATCAATATGTTAAGCTAGCTTGTCTACAATAATAAATCTTCTTTAGATTAAAGAGATTTTCTTTAGTCTGTAACAACTTTGTGATCAGAGTTTCTCAATTTTTGACCATGGTTACTTTCACAATTTTGTTGCACAGCAACTCTTAATTACCGTAAACTCAACTACCAAATCCAACTGCATTTGCACTTTAACTGTTTTATGCGCCATTTTGCACATTAAAACAGATGGTCAGGTAAGTGATGCAGCTCTCCCGCTCACTCGCGCACGCCAGCAGCTGAACCTGCACTATTTTATTAACTCATACACTCTCGCCGTCTCGCTCTCACTCACACGGGACAAGCCAAGGCCATAAATTATAGTTGGATCACGCGCCATCACGCGCCGCGTTGTCCGGTTGGACACTGCATTCCGGCCGTGCATTCCGTTGTTTAGAAAACTATTTTTGTAACTAGTTGGCATTCCAGGCAGTTGCCAGAGCATCTTCAGCTGCCTCAGCTTGGCCCAAGGAAGATGATGGAAAGGCGACGCTGCAAAACAGCTGACATTTCACTTTTCTGATGCGATTACGCAGTGTCCGCTAGCTCTGTGTGTGTGTGTGTGTGTGTGTGTGTGAGGGGGGGTTAGCTTCCTGCTACAACACTGTAAATTGCTTACGGTCACGTAGCAGGCTGCCTCCTGTCTCTCAGCGCGACAAGAATGTGCTGCCAGCATGCCAAGGGGGGGCGGGGAGCAACACACAAAGACGAAGGCAAAAGAGGAATAAAAAAATGGTGCCAAACTTAATGAAAATGCCAACGCGTCGCCATTTTGGCCAAAGAGGCGTAGTTGCCAGCAGACCCCCCGCCCCCCCTGTCCATCAACCCCTCTCTCATTGTGCACGTGGCCCTTAGCATTTCCATAATATGTTATTTTTCATGCGTTTTAGCGAAAGTGTTTCCATTGTGTGCTAGAGAGGCTGTGTCTGTAAGTGTGTGTGTGCGTGTGTGCGTGTGTGTGTGTGTGCGTGTGTGTGTGCTAGTATTGGCATTTTTGATTTCTTGCTCCATTTTGTTCTATTCCTCTGCCCCATCGCACTTTGGTTGTGCGCCATTTTTCTTGTATTTTGCTGCCGTTTGGCATTTGCATATCAAGATAGTGTCATTAAATTTGCATATTTTGTATAAATTTAAATTCTTTCTATGGCTCTTCTCGCTGTGTTTCTCCCTCTCTCTCTGTTTGCTCATTTTGCTCATTCTTCAAATTTCGCACGACTTTGTTGCCGCTGCCGCCATTGTTGTTGTAATTTATTGTTGTAGGCATATGCAAAGAGCATTGTTTACACACTGTGTGCGTGTGTGTGTGTGTGTGTGTGTGTGTGTGCGTGCTTGCGAGTGGGTGTCACTTTTTTTTTGTGCTTCTTGTCGTCATGCATCATTTGTTTAGTCCTTTAGTCCTTTGTTATGTGTCGTGCGGGACTGTAAAAGGGGGGCGGAGTGTCCCCTATGCGAAACCGGGATAATGCTCATGTGTGGGAGTCGCACTTTTATGTCGCGCACTTGTTGAGAATATTAATTTTATTTAAATATTTCAAAATGTCACCGAGCTGCTGGCTCAACAGTTTCGAAGAAATGTGACGTGCGTGTTTGTCCTCGTTTTATTGGAATGTATTTACGTAATGGGCAAACAGATGGCAAATGCAAACAATGAAAGACGAATGAGAAAAAAAGACAGCTCAAATACAGCTACAGATGATTGACAGTGATATGCACGTATGTAGAAACTAAGAGCTGTTATATTCAAAAAGTATTTGATTATAACTCTTAGTAGAAATAACTAAAATTAATTAAATTAGTTAGTTAATTAATTGAAATTTGCATGTTCGTATTTAAATATGCCGCCAAGTTTTTAGCGTCAGTCAAAAGCTTACTGCTACGCAACCTAATTGTATACAGCTGAAGTATTTAGCATAAGCAGCCATGCACAGTTACATATATGTATGCATATATGTACATACATACATATATATGCATCCGTGTTCGTACATACAAACAGGTGCACTTAATCAGCGCAGCGCAGCAAGTTTCTATTTCTATTTGTTGAATTATTTAAATTTCTATTTGCGCCGATTGCCTTTTCAAAACAACAACAACAACAACTGCAAGTGCACAACGGCAAAGCAAAACTGCTGCTTTTGCCGGGTGCCGGCCCCACAGCTGTGGTGCGAACCACAAAGAAAGAAAGAGAGAGAGAGAGAGAGAGAGAGAGAGAGGGAGAGCGCGCGTGCGAGAACGCGAACAGCTTGCAAGCAGAAGAGCACGAGCATGCAAACACAATTTTGTGTTTGCTTGCGCTCAGAGCGCTCAGTGCTTGCGCTCTCTTTTGCTGCGGCTGTTTGCTTTTGCCAATTTCTCATCCACCACCTTTTCGCATACATTTCGTTTCGCTGTCGCCGCTGTCGGTTTGTGTGTGTTGCGCTTTTTTTTCGCTCGCTCGCTGCGCAAGGTATTTAGTCGTTGTAAATTTTGCATAAATAAAAATTCATTACGCACCCGCACCGAAAAACAAAACACCAAATTGCACCACCACCAACAGCAACAATAACAACAAACAACATTCAACAAGCAGCAATAGCTTAGAAGAGGCGCGTGTCTAGTGCAAAGTGCGGTCGAGTAGACGTTATTTCTCAGTTTTTGTTACTCTGTGTGTGTGCGTGCGTGTGCGTGTGTGTGGGTAGTGCGCGCGCGAGTGTGTACCTGTGTGCGTGTGCGAGCAAAATCGCAATCTCGTAATCGTAATCAACTTATAACGTGCAACAAGAGCAGCCGCACAGCTGACATTCAATAGTAAGCATACCCCAACTCAACTCAGCCCCGCCCACGCGCCCACCAACGCTGTCGACGTCGCTGTCGTAACAGCATTATTTCGCAGCGGCCGCAATAACAAAATTTACAGCTTTCAGCTAATTGAAAGCGAATTCGAATTTGTTGCTATCGTTGTTGTTATCGCATGTCATTGCACTCGATAGCAATAGTTAGTAAAGGTTTCTTTTTGTTTTATTTGTTTTTCTTTTCTGTTTGTGAATTGGAAATTGCATAAAATACAAAATAATCAGCGCAAAGCAACAACGAAAACAGACATTAAAACAATCGGAAAGCAACAACAAATCACAGGGACGCTCTCTGACTTTGGGCGCAGCAGACACTATACAACTGCTTGACAGTCATGCAAGATTGCTTGATGAACGTATGCGTGTGTGTGTGTGTGTGTGGAAATGTTTGTTAAGTTTTTTGTTTTTTTGTAATTTTTGACGTACAATTTGCCAAAACAAATTGTTTGGCTATTTTTAACACAGAAATCTTATCAAATGCGCCATAAAGCAAAGTCAGGCGTGTGTGTTTCACTTGTTGTGCGTGCTTCTGTTTCTCTTTATTTTTGCTTTGCCGGCGTCCGCTCTCATTCTCTTGCTGCCTCTCGTGCGCTCTCGTGTTCAGTTCAGCTACAGCTGTCAGAAAAGCGCTCTCACGCTCTCTCTCTCGAAATCACTCTGTCTCGTTCTCACTCGCTGCGTTGCTGTCATTGTCCTTTTGGCGCACTGCAGTTCGTATTTTAATAAGCAACAGTAATAATAACAAAAACATAACTAAAGCAACAACGAAATTGTCGCGCGCAACAAAGTGTAAGCAACAAATTAATTAAGTTGCCATACGGAACAAATACACAGCGCATAGTTTTTATTTTGCATTGTCAATGAAAATAATTATTGTTGGTTTTTTTTTTTTTTGGCATTACGCTTTGCCGGTCATCGTCTGGGCCATTTGTTTACAAGTGTGTGCGTGTGTGTGTGTGTGTTGTGTGTGTGTGGCGGTTGTCTGGCCCCATAAAAATACAACTTGGCTGTGTGCTATTTTTAATTCGCAACTTTGGTCACTCAGGCGTGTGTGTGTGTGTGTGTGTGTGGCATACGTATAACAACAACAAACGATATGCATTATAAAATTCTACATATGTTGCATGCAAACCAAGAATTGCAACATAGTTGCCGCCTGCAATTAATTCCAAATTAGACAGAGACCAAATGATCTGGTCAGAAGTTCTCGCTCTGGCGACTGCGCACAGGCAGAGGCCCGTGCAGAAAGTGCAATAAAATATAACAGCTAGAAGCGAATGCAGTGTTGCCGATGCGCAAGCAGAAATACTGCACAAAAAGCATGCTGTTAATGTGTTAAGCGAAAAGCGTATTAAAAAGTGCGCGTAACTAACTAACCAAATAAATGTGTATGCAAGCATATTGTGTATGCAAGCATGCATGCCTTTTGTTTGGAGAGCACATGTTGGTGTCAGTGTTGCCGCAATGCAGCCGCATTTAGTACTAAAGAGCTCTTACCAAAGTGTCATAATTATCAGCGCGTTTGCTTTCAACTGTTATACGCAGCCATTGGCTTTGCGGTTTTCACTTTCTCTAATCACTTGTTTTGCTTATCAGCCACGTTTAATATGTCATTTGCTTTGCAGTTGATTCGTCGCGCGTGATTTCAAAAGAAGAAGAAGAAAGAACAATAGCATTTGCAATGCATCCACGCTACAGTCCAGCGCCGCCGCCGCATCAGCAGCAGCAGCAGCAACAGCAACAGCCAATGGGCGGGCCCCATCAGCAGCAGTCGGCAGGGGGTGGACCCGGACATGGCGGTGGTGCATCTGGCCACATGAGGGCGCCACCAAATTCACAGCAATTACCGCCGCAGATGCCGCGATCACAGAATTATGCAAATGTAAGTGATACGAATTACGTTTATATATAGAATAAGTGTGCTCTGGTGTGTTATCGATAAACTTATCGATAGGTTTGCTTTTACTTTTGTCATCAATCAATTTATGGGTTGGTTCCTTTTATTTTCGTTATCGTAGCTTCCCTTTTACAAATATTTGCTTTTCTTATTGCCACAAAAGCCCCTTTTCTGGCTACATTTAGACCTGTTCCACAGATTTCCTTTTATATTAATTATAGAATAATTAAGTTCTAATTCTTTTCATTCTATCGATTCCCCTATAAAATCGAATCAGGCTTGTGCCTTTATACTAGCCAGTTTCTCGGCTTTGAATTAAACTGTTCGCTTAGTCATAAATGGGTCGTAATGTAAAATGGGGTTAACTATTGATAGTTGGGTACAAAACATATTAAATGGGCGCCTGTACGCAATCAGCGCCACAATGAATCAATCAATCAATCAATCGATCAATCAAATGCATCAGTGCATCAATCAAGCAATCAAGCTGGCAACCGCGCAGTCACTCATTCATTCAGTCGCATTCACTCATTCATTCAAATCGCTACGGCACCCATCTTTTGCCTTTAACAGATTTCAGACTTCTGATAGGGGGCGCAGCACTTGCGGCTCTCGGTCGCAAGGGGGCGCCACATTGCAATCGACATGTGTCATACGCAGCGTTGGCCCAGTTGACTGGAAAATTGCTGCTGCCGCTTGCTACGGCCATGATACGATTTTCTATGCTCCGCTGCCACACACACACACACACCCACACACACCCATACACATCAACCAGACACACACCCACACACCTACACACATACACAAACAGGCGAAGAATATCAATTTCCGACACTTGCAGGCCACAGTCTGCCTAATCTTAGCCAACTGCCGCTTTACCTGCAATCATTACTCAAATAAATCCAAAGGTCTCTTCTTTTCCACCATTATTTATATTTTTTGCTGTTTGCCTAATTTCTGCGCAGATCTCATTGCATAATGCTGGCATATTTTATGCATTTGCGTCGCCCTGCAAATGGCCCAAAACGCACAAAGCCAGTTTTACATTTGTAAGTTGTACCCCCACCCTCCCTGAAGCCCACAGTTAGTACTAGGTCTTTACCTGCGTATATCTGTATAATAAACTATTCAGTAATGTTGCCGCACAATGCGGTGCCCAACTCTGACTGCGTTTTTAGGCAATGCCCTGTCCCCGCCCACTCCCTTTGCCACTCTGCGACTGGCCACGTTGTCAGCTCAGCTCTGCTGCTTGGTTCGCTTTGTGGCGACGTCTATTTGGCATCCTCTAATGGCCGCACGGCGTTGCTTTTGCTTTTCATGAGCGTTCCATTTAAATAGCTTTCAGCATACTACCAACAACAACAACAACAACAAAAAGCAACATCAACAATGCCGACCACATCAAAAAAAAAAAATAAAAATAAAAAATAAACGTAAAACTGCAAAAAAAAACACATAAATAAAATACAGAATTGTAAACATTCGCGCTTAGTCAGCCCTGAAGTTTTTGACTGGCCTGAGCATTGAGTATATGTATGTTTATATATCTGTATATATATATCTATATATGTCTATATTCATATATGAATTTGTACGATTGAGCTCTGAATTGAGTTCTTAAAGCTTCACAACTAGCAGTATCCAAAGCTGCGCTACTTTTTCAGATATGTTGAATAAGGTAGATATTTTTATATATTTTAAAATGTCAAATTTAAAGAAATGGCCGAGTAAGGTTTGCCCTAATCCATGATCTATTACTCCAGAAGCTGCTTGTAAATTTTGATGCCTCTAACCATTAAAACCAAAGATACTGACTTAAAACAACAGAATTTCAATATCGCCTTTTATCCATTATTTGGCAATGTGGGAAGTTTTCGATGATCGGACACAAACTCGTAATCGGACATTAGGAGAACCTACATATCCCTTTACCCACTTTCATGTAAAATATAATCTTCAGCTAATGAATGATGTTTGGGACTGTACATAAAGTTCTTTAATCAAAAATAGTTCAGATTCTACGTCGCGTACCTTTGATATGTCCATAGGCTGCCTAAGAAAACACTCTAATGAATTTTGTTCTTCCTACTCTTCCCACCTTGTTGCATGCCACTTTCGCCTGCCTCATTTTCGTGGCGCAACTCTTGTTTGAGTTTTCAACCAAAATTGTTGCTGTTGAAACTTGATTGTATACTCGCTGTGTTTGACTTACAACTTGTTCAAGAAAATATACTAAATTTATATTTGATTGGGCAGCTAGGTAGCCAGTCGGTTGTTTGGGAGAGGGGTTAGGGGAGAGGGGGTTCTCGGACTACGTGGAACGTCGTAATTTCTGATTAAATTCAATGTTGACAATTACCAAACGCAAAGTTGTTAAGGTAATTGTAGCTCGCGTAGGCTGAGATGCATTTCAATTGGTTACGCCTCACGGGGCTGGACCGAATGTACGTAAAGGAAACCAAAAACGTGTTGGCCGAACTCCTCGAGAAAACCAGCCGCATTCGCACTCCGCAAGGAGTCGCTGCGAATGCCGTGTATGTGTGTGTGTGTGTGCGTGTGTGTGTGAGTGTGTGTGTGTGCAGCGCTGAATGAGGGGCTAGCTGGACGCGTTTGTCCTGCAACACGCCCGTTGCGTGCAACGCATGCGCCAGCTTGTGGATTCTGCAAAGTCCTTTAGAGACGCTTTGCCGGCTGGCACGAATGTGTCATCGGGTTTAGCCGAATGGTGGCGCCGACTGGCTGCCAAATGCTGGCCTCAAGTTGAACATGCAACCTTACTCAATGAGAAATTCAGAATCCATTCGACGATTGTCAAGTTAAGTTAAACGCCTTTTCCTCATTTTCGCAAACGGAAAGCGACCAGCCAGCACGACCAGCAGCAGCCAAGCCAAGCAAAGCCAAGCAAAGCCGAGCCGAAGCTGAAGCCAAGCCAAAGCCAAAGCCTAGCCAAGCCAAGCCACGCCAAGCCAAGCCAATCCAAGCCACGCCAAGTCAGTCAAGTCAGGCCAATCCAAGCAGACCCAACTGATCCAGCAGTTCGCCCTGTCACAGTATCACGTGAAGTTCCGACAAGTAGTCGCCATTTTGTGTTTGCGCCGAGCCCAACAATTAAATAAACAAATAGTTAAAAAGGGAAAATTAATTTAATTTCAATTAAATCAAATAATTTTTGTGCGTATACGTAATATTCAACTATATATAGAAATATATATATATATATATATATTCAACGCGTTGTTACTACTGTGAGTACATTCTGTCCAAAGGAAAGCGAGATTTTTGAGTAAAGTGAATGCACTCGTGAGTGTTTACCGTTGTCTGGGAAATCAACAACAACAGCAACATCAACAACAAACCAACAGTATTATTTACTCGAGTCGGTTCGGTGCTACAACTAATTAGCGTAAAACAAACAACTGCTCAAAGCTAGCAACAATAAATTGGCTAAAGGTCTAAAGTCCCTATATAGAAAGAGAAGCTAAATCGTATTTCAAATACAACAAAAAGTGCGGTAAGCATTAAATTCAAGCAAAGATTGAATTGATTAAAAAATAAACAAAAATTCGAACGAGTTTTAAACTCTCAAAAAAGTTAAGAACAAAATATTTAAGAAAAGCAAATTTAACTCCGTTGAGTAAAGCTAAAAACAAAAAAACGTTTAAAACAAAATTAAATTAAAAGCGAAATAAACACCAAAAACTGCAGTATTATTTAAATAAAAATATTTAAGTGAAGGCAAACAGAAAAAATTGAATAAAAAATTAATTGCATAAATTAATCAAAATTAAATCAAGACTAAAGTGTTTAAAAATTTTGCGTGTAGAAAAAGACAATAAAAAAAAAATTATTAAAAAACTTCTAAACTTGCATACAAATTGTCAGTAAAAAAATAAAAAAAAAAAGAAACTAGAAAATTAAAAACAAAATAAATAAAAACTAGCAAATATTTAAAACAAAATATTTAATTAGCGCAAAGTAAAAGCTTAGCTTAAAATATAAATACTAAAAATTTCGCATCTTTAAGTCTCAGTGTGCTTTAGTCAATGTAATTGTTATAAACATTTTCAACTTGCATAAAAAACTCTTAAGTGTTCAGTGTTAGAAAAGATAAAAATTAAAATAAAAAGAAAAAATTAATCAGTTAATGTTTTTAAAACATAAAGTAAAAAGTAAAACGTGTTAAATAAATAGGGCAAATTCGAGTTCTGGTCGTTGTAATTATAAAGAAAAAAGCGTAAGAAAATAAACTTAATACGAAAGGCAAAAGGCATAGGAAAAACAGGCGCCAAATAAAACTAACTGACAGTCGTCGGCAAATCTAGAGAGAGAAAGAGATAGAGAGATAGATAGAGAGACGCAGAGTGAAGGAAAGCTAGAAAAGTGAGAAGCAGCGCTGTGCAAAGAGGCGTTAAATTAATTCACAATCAACGTGCAAATCAATAGCCATTAAAATTGCGTCAATCAAGAGAAAAACCTCACCGCTGCCCACAACAACATTGAAGCTAACTAATTTCAATCAGCCAGAGCAGCTACTAGAACAGCAGCAGCAGCAACAACAACAGCAGCAGCAGCAGCAGCAGCAGAGCGAGGCAACAGCTGCAAGTCAACAGTTGGCAACAGTTGTGCAAACAGAGCGGCAGCAAGAAGCCACAGCAGCAGCAGCAACAGCAGCAACAGCAACAACAACAGCAGCAGCAGCAGCAGCGGCGGCAAACGTAGCAGCAACAACAGCAGCAACAGCGACAACAGCAACAACAGCGACAACAACAACAGAAAGTTTGTTAACAAATTCTCAGGCTAACGCCTCGGTCAGCGTAGACAAGAGCAACAGCAGCAGCAGCTCCATCTCCATCTCCTCAAGCACCACCAACACCTCCGTCTCTGCGTCCTCCTCTTTGAATCTAACAGCGCCGCCGCCGCCACCACCACCACCCACAAGCGAAGCCACAGTTGAAACAACAACAGCAACAGCAACAACAACA